GACTAACTATGGGGGAGACTGTGTGAACATTTGGCTCCAGCCTCATTCCCCCGTGACTATAAACAAGGCTGCTAGCGTGTGTTAGCCGACACGACAAATGTATTTATTTACGTTTTTAAAAAAAACAAATAAAACAATCAATATATATTGTTATCGACCGATATGAATTACTTATATTGTGATATAGTTTTCAGCCATATCGCCCAGCCCTAAGCTTAAGCGCAAATTCATACTGCGCAACTCCCCCCATACAGGCCAGCCAATCACACACCTCTGCCAACTCCCCCCATACAGGCCAGCCAATCACACACCTCTGCCAACTCCCCCCATACAGGCCAGCCAATCACACACCTCTGCCAACTCCCCCCATACAGGCCAGCCAATCACACACCTCTGCCAACTCCCCCCATACAGGCCAGCCATCACCACCTCTGCCAACTCCCCCCATACAGGCCAGCCAATCACACACCTCTGCCAACTCCCCCCATACAGGCCAGCCAATCACACACCTCTGCCAACTCCCCCCATACAGGCCAGCCAGCCAATCACACACCTCTGCCAACTCCCCCCATACAGGCCAGCCAATCACACACCTCTGCCAGAGCTTCCTGAAGCGCTCAACACCCACCGCCTCCCAAGCACCTCCTCATGCTCCTGCTCTGGCTCCTACTGCGGCTCCTGCTCTGGCTCCTGCTCTGGCTCCTACTCTGGCTCTTGCCCTGGCTTCTACTCTGGCTCCTGCCCTGGCTCTTGCCCTGGCTTCTACTCTGGCTCCTACTCTGGCTCTTGCCCTGGCTTCTACTCTGGCTCCTGCCCTGGCTCCTGCTCTGGCTCCTGCTCTGGCTCCTGCTCTGGATCCTACTCTGGCTCCTACTCTGGCTCCTACTCTGGCTCCTGCTCTGGCTCCTACTCTGGCTCCTACTCTGGCTCCTACTCTGGTTCCTACTCTGGCTCCTGCCCTGGCTCCTGCTCTGGCTCCTGCTCTGGCTCCTGCTCTGGCTACTACTCTGGCTACTACTCTGGCTCCCGCTCTGGCTCCTGCCCTGGCTCCTACTCTGGCTCCCGCTCTGGCTCCTGCCCTGGCTTCTACTCTGGCTCCTACTCTGGCTCCTGCCCTGGCTCCTACTCTGGCTCCTACTCTGGCTCCTACTCTGGCTCCCGCTCTGGCTCCTGCCCTGGCTCCAGCTCTGGCTCCTGCCCTGGCTTCTGCTCTGGCTCCTGCTCTGGCTCCTGCCCTGGCTCCTGCTCTGGCTCCTGCCCTGGCTCCTGTCCTGGCTCCTGCTCTGGCTCCTGCCCTGGCTTCTGCTCTGGCTCCTGCTCTGGCTCCTGCCCTGGCTTCTACTCTGGCTCCTGCCCTGGCTCCTACTCTGGCTCCTACTCTGGCTCCTACTCTGGCTCCCGCTCTGGCTCCTGCCCTGGCTCCAGCTCTGGCTCCTGCCCTGGCTTCTGCTCTGGCTCCTGCCCTGGCTTCTGCTCTGGCTCCTGCTCTGGCTCCTGCCCTGGCTCCTGCTCTGGCTCCTGCCCTGGCTCCTGTCCTGGCTCCTGCTCTGGCTTCTACTCTGGCTCCTGCTCTGGCTCCTGCCCTGGCTCCTGCTCTGGCTCCTGCTCTGGCTCCTACTCTGGCTCCTGCTCCTGCTCAGCCTACACTCACACCATGCTTCTAGCCACCACCAGTGCTTGACCCCGGGGGATCTGAGATCATCTTCAGCAGCATTGGCCGGGGTCAACGAGCCAAACAAATACATCTTTTTAATGTATTAATGTGTCTGTCTTTGGTCTCTTCAGATTGAATCATCTTTATTCTTCGCTCCTGCTCTGGCTCTGCCCTGGCTCCTGCTCTGGCTCCTGCTCTGGCTCCTACCCTGGCTCCTCTCCTTCTCAGCCTACACTCACACCATGCTTCTAGCCACCATCTATGCTTGACCCCGGGGGAT